ATCTGTACAGTAAAGTCTCCCAGTGACCTTGCTCTAGGATGGATATTTAGACACAACACAGGTCTCTCAGCAAGGGCACTATTGGCTTCTGAGGCCAGATAATTCTTTAATGGAAGGTTCTGGGATGTGTCCTGTAATCTGCTGAGCAGCATTCTTGGGCTGTGCCTAAGTTGCTAGCCAGTCAGTCCCCAGTTACAACACTGCCACACATCCTAGGGGAGGGAGACAATGCTGTTCGTGACTCCAAAATTCATTGTTAGGAAACATTAAGACCCAGAATCGCCATTTTTCTATGGGGTTCATTTGAATGCTCAGCTCATATATTTTCAGCTTCATTTTCTATTGTAACCCTTTTGTTGTTTATTAAGTTTGGGATGTCAGGAAATTTGGTGAAATTTATTTGCTAAACTAGCAAATTCCAGGTATCAGGTGTTCTTCCTGCTGCCCTTTTCATTTGACCCTCTGCTCTATTATACCTGCTGATCTATCCTGTGACTTCTGGGCCTTCTAGCACAGCATCTGAAGAATGCACATTTACAGCTGACGCAAGGTCACACTCACCTTCCTGGAACATCTGCTCTCCATAAGAAATTGTGGGGTGACTGAGGTATGACCACAAGAAAGGGTGTGTAGGAGGGAGAAGGAAGGAAGGAATGGGAAGAGACCATGGAAGGAAGAACAATAGTCTACTGTTTCTGTGGCTACCAGAGCCACAAAGGGGAATGCTGAATTTGATGTGGTTTATTTTTAGAAGCCCTTGGAGTGACCTGGTTGGGGTTGATGGCAGTCCCTTCTCTTATTTGGTTGCCACTAGAGAAAGTTGCAGTCTAACATTGAGTTGTTTTGTGCAACATTGAGTTGTTCCTTGGGAGGCTAATGCTATATGCAGCTCTCAATTGGGAGCTGCTTGTATCTAGGTCTGTTTGACCTGTTTGAAGTCCCTAAGACTATGACATACACAGGCACCATTGACCAAATCCCCCCCTGCCTACTTCCTTTCATGAGACACTGATGTCCTGCTGTCTTCCTCAATGTCATTTGGGCGACAGGACTGCCATCATCACTCTGATATTTGTCGGGGGAGCACACGGGGAAAGGTGGGCAGAGGCAGGGGTCACAAGGGGTGATGTGTTGATTTCATTGGCTAATAAAGAAACTGCCTTGGCCATTTGATAGGCCAGTCCTTAGGTGGGTGGAGTAGACAGAACAGAATGCTGGAAGAGGGAAGTGAGGCAATCACCATGCCTTTCCTCTCTGGGTCAGATGCAATGGAGCCAGCCGCCAGGTCAGACATGCTGAATCTTTCCTGGTAAGCCACCACCTCGTGGTGCTACACAGATTATTAGAAATGGGTTAATCAAGATGTAAGAATTAGCTGATAAGAGGCTAGAACTAACGGGCCAGGCAGCGTTTAAAAGAATACAATTTGTGTGTTGTTATTTTGGGTGTAATGCTAGCGATGTTGGGAGCCAGGCCGGATGAAAAGCAGGCCTGCTTGCCTCATCACTACAAAGTGGCTGCTGAGAGACAAGTGTGTTGTTAGAACCTATAGGTGTAAATCATTTATTGGCTTTTCCTCAGTTCTGGAGAAAACATCTGGTAGGCTTTTAAGTGTTTTCAGCAGGAAGGCAAAAATCTCTGGATGTGGGATAAGATGAAGACCCACTGACATCTGGAACAGGTGGGCTAGAAGACTCTCTTCTAAAGCCACCAGCGCCTTAGCTCCCTGTGACATTTATTTTTCTACTGATTCTGATATTTGTATTCCATGGTAGATCAATTAGCCATTAACAATGTCTTCTCTATTGACCTTATCACCTCCCTGCTCAATGTCATCACTGCTTACTAGAGAGACTACAAAAGAAACAGATACTGGAACTACCTGATCCCTGAGCTGAGAATGGGCAAAAAGGCTTAAAGTGAGCCACCAGCAACTCATTATAGGGTGTTTCTGTGTCTCAGCACTTCTGAATGGCCCTGGGTGAACGGCTGGCCTCCAGCTCTCTCACTACTAGAAGGTGGGGCTTAGTGGAAAGCAGTTAGGTCACCAGGGTATGACTTTGAAGGAGTATGGGGACCCTAGATGATCATCTTTCTTGTTGCCATGATGTGATCAGGCCTTCTCTGCCAGACTTCTATGATGATGTCCTGTGTCACAACAAGGCCAAGTCACCTGGGCCAAGTAAAGGCTCTGAACAATGAACACAATAACCCTCTTTAGAGTTGCATCTCTTGACGTTTGTCAGAAAGCTGGCCTAGCAATAAGCAAAGGGTCAGAACTCACGCTGTGGAGCAATGATGGTTCAGGAATCCACCTCCACCCCCCAAATGACCTGACTTTAGAGATCAGAGAATCTCAGTGCTAGAAGGGGCCTTTGAGATCAGTGTTGTCAGGAGGCAACAGAAATGAGAAACTGTTGACAGAGGTGAAAGGGATTGGTTAGAAGGCCATCATGAGGCCATGTAGGGAGGTGAGCACCACAGCCAATGGAAGCTAGAGAACAAGGCTTGAGGATGGCAAAACCCAGGGCTGTAGAGAGCGCAGGAGCAGGAATCATAGCAACTCCGCTCGTAGGAAACATTCTGTCCTGAAGACTGTGTGCTGCTGTCCTTCCTGCCTGTCAAGACTCAGTCTTGGGTTTCTGAGCTTTTGTGAAGTGCAGTGGGTGCCTGGAACTCCTTTCTGATCAGAACTGCACCAGTTCCTGAGGTGGAAATTCCCAGGCGAATGTGCCGGCATAGATGGCGGGGAAACACCTGCTGAGGTTCACGGGGAGAGACGTCACACGGTTTCAGGAATGCTCTTAATAGAAACGAGTTCTCGCTCCTGTATTTTCTATGAGCAACATCACAGCTGCCGAAGAAATCACTAGCCAAAGGGAAGGCACGGTGATGTGTAGGCTTCAAGTGCCACAGAAGCTCTGGATTTCCAGAGATGCTGCTCTTTCCTTATGGGGAATGGGATTCAGTCAGGAAGCCAGAGTGACAGGTGCATGTGGTCCTAACGAAGTCAAGAAAGGCAGAGCTTGTCCAGGATTCAGACAGAGATTCTGGGCAAGCAACTCAACTCCCACACAGACTGTGATGGGCTGTCAGAAGGTGCTCCAATCCAGAAACACCCAGAGGGTACTGGATGCTGTAAGAGCAGTGAGGTCAGATGGGATGGGTGCTGTGCTTATCATAGAACACGGGCTGGCTTTATGTCAACTCAACACAATTTAGAGAAGAAACCTCAACTGAGGGAGTGCACCCACAAGATCAGGTTGCAGGCAGGGTATTTTCTTATTAATGGTTGATGGTCGAGAGGCCAGCTCATTATGGGTGGGGCCATCCCAGAACTGGTTGTCCTAGGTTCTATAAGACAGCAGGCTCAGCAAGCCATAGGGAACGAGTCTCCATGGTCTCTGCATCAGCTCCTGCCTCCAGGTCCTGCCCTGTTTGAGCTCCTGTCCTGGCTCCCTTGCATGGTGAACAGTGATGTGGAAGTGTGAGCCAAACAAACCCTTGCCTCCCAAGTTACCTTCGGTCATGGTGTTCCACTCCAGTTAATAGTAACACAAACTAAGACACCTAAGAAGCTGTGGGTTGCCCTGGGAACACAAAAGCAGTTACCTGGGGCAACTATTCAAGCTCAGGACTTAGGAGACAGGGCTTGGCTTAATGCAGACAAAGTAAGCGATAGAGAAAATACGGGATCACCCAAAACCTAGGTAAATAACAGCATGCAGTATTGAGAAGGGCATGCAGAAGCCAAGCCCCGCACCAGAGCGAGCATGATGGACAGGTAGGTACCCGAGCTTCCTGCACTTCAGCGTGGTTCCAAATGTCAGCTCCAGCCACATTTTCCCCCTAAATTCCCATGTTACAGCTAAACAAGTCATGTTGTGAAAAACAAAACAAAATCCCCCACAATACATTTAAGAAAATTCTGGCCAACTCCCAAAGCACACAGAAAACTCGGACTGCATTTCAATCTTGAGATCTCAACAGAAAGAGACGATTGGACTGGGGCAGCATAGCCATCATCATCAGGACTGATGCGCTTAATTACGAGAAACCCAAAGCTAATAATTTCATGTAGTGCTACAGCCAGAGGAGGCCGGTTACCATGGAAACCTCACTTTCATTTTCTTCTTTCCTGAGCATATTTATGCGGTAGAGGAAGAGAAATGTAAACACGGCAGAAATATCAAACAAGACACGGCACAGTTTGCTGTAAATATTTTACATTATTACAAGAACACAGTGAAAAGGCCCGGCAGACCAATGGATGGGAACTGGTCTCTGGCAGGAGAAAAGAAGGCTGTCCCCCCAAAATGGCCCAACTTTACAAAAATGGCGAGTCTGTTTTTAAAAAATGTAGAAGGCAATTTTCAGAACATTCTGTAATGTTAGCCAAAATTCAAAGTGTATTTCTTCTGAATGCAAAATGTAACAAATAAATACACGTCAAAGACAGATCAGAGATACAAACGACCAAAGGTAGACAACGAACTGCTATACGCTTAGCTGTAGTCCACTTTCAGAATTGTTTACAAAGCCAGAAAAGCCAGAAAAGCCACTGTGGACCCTGAACATGTTTTATACTTGATATTTTCAGAAGCACCCTATTTCCAGTGTTTCTTTTATCCACTTCACAAATATATTATTTTTAAACAAAAAAGAGATTAAAGGTGCTTTAACCTGGTATTAAATGACCATACACTGGTGCCCAAGAAAACTGCTAACCGACCACAAGGCAGGGGTGCTTGGTTCACAATGACGCTTGCAGACGGGACACTTAGACAGCAGGTAGCTGAGGGCAGCCCTGCTCTCTCAACACTGAGTTCATCTCCAAGTAACAAGCAGAGAAAGCAACTCAGGAAACTGTATTTCTGCTCCTGCTCTCTGTGCTCCTGTGCTGGGAAAATGGGGGAGGAGGTTGAAAGCCCACAGTAGTTGCCTGGCCTGGGCCCCCATTGAGTGTGATGGGTTTTCTTTTTGTGCTCAGTTTGCTTGGATTCCTGAAGAAGTCAGAGTACTTGTGTGTCTCTGAGGCTAACTTCCATTCTCTTGTATTCTCTTTAAACCTGATGTGGTTGCATAGTTATGCTTTTGGAGAGTTCTGGCATTCTAGAGCACTTACCAAAGCACTCAGACCAGACCAAAATATTCAGGCACAAACTATGGCTCAAAGTCAACAGAGTGTGCACCAGCGTTCGTCCCCGCTGTCCCCAGTTGCTCAACCGTTTACACACCGAAACACAAACCTAAAACCTATGGGCAGTTAAACATCTAGAGGTGTTTGACACAAGAAGCTAATTTGGCAGTCAGTCTTGGTGGTCTATGAAGGAGGATGGAGCTGTCCCACAAGAACTGTGCCCACAAGGACAGCTTGTATCACGCGATAAAGCTGAGCAACAGACACTGTGTTAATGAAGTGAAATTCCAGCAGACAAAGGGTATTTTGTGTCTCTGGCCACTCTGACCCTGAATTTGAACTAAATGAGCTTCTTTTCTGTTTGATTTGATGCTCATAGTCACTTGGTTGTGAAGCCTACCTATAGCAGCCTGTTGAAGCTGGAGGAAACTATCCCACTGGTAGGAAATAAAAAGCGAGTTCCGTTGGGATGTGTCCACATCCTGGGTACTGTGTCTGTGCAAGGCCCAGGGTCTGAGGAGTGATGGGAAATTCTCTCACAGTGGAACTGTGCTGTGCTTCGTGTTGCTCTTCTGATTGCTGTTAAAGGAGAGCGATCACAGCTAGCATGGGACGGGCCCCGCAGCACCCCGTGGCTGATCTACCACAGCCCTCTGTGCTCTGGGTGAGGATCAAGCTGGGTGCCCGCTGCTGTGTTTGTACATGCTAACAAGTCCAGCATTATCTGAGGAGCTGGCAAGCAAGTTTTCCCCACCAAATTCTTTCTAAGAGGAAAACCCTTAGAAAAGAAGAGGCAGGGAATGGTGAGCTAACACACAGTATCAATAACAGCTGTCTGAGTCCTCTTAGCCCTTAAGGGTTTGAACACAGGGGCTCACTGTTTGCCCTGCAGTGATTGTCAGGAAACTCGAACACCTCAGGGCGATTTGACAAGTGCTCCACAAGGAAAATAGAAACGGGGACTTAGACTTCTGGGCAACTTCTCTTTTCATTCTTGGGTTCTTGCTACGCTCATGGGTGCCTGAGGCGCGTCTCTTATGGGGTTCTGTTGTTTGCTCTGGTGGTTACAGGCAGACACCTGGCTTCTTATGGGGCCAGTCTAGCATCTGCTGGGTGGCATTTACAGCCTACTTATCTGATGCTACAGAAATTCCTAACAGACAGGGAAAGTGGCAATGTCTGGTTTTCCAGGAAGGGAGGTACTCTGGGCAGCTATGAGGAGAACTGATGTCTTCGTACAGTGTTCTGGGGTATCTAGTAAGGCACACTGGCTTACTTTGAACCCTCATCGTGCCCTCTTAGTTGAAGCTTTGGAAGACCACTTAACATGATGTAACTTGAATAACTTTGCTATTGCTCTTAAGAAGGGTTTAGAGGACACCAAGTGAATCAGCCTGGAGTAGCGTGTGGATGTCCAGGGCATTACTGTGGAGTATTCTGTCCCACTATTTCTTTGGGGGCAGGAGGTCAGCTTGCTAGCTCAAGACAAAAAGGAAGCCTTCAACCTGGACATGCCCACTCACAGTGGTCTTAATGTCCTTAGAAAAAGTCCCCAAGCCTTTGCCAGTAAGGCCGCTCATACAGCATACCTGCCGTGTTACAGTTTCCTATTACTAAAGTGAAACCCAGAGACATCTGACAGTTTCCTGTAGACCCCACACTGAGCTGCTTAGAAAATGGGCTCAACGCCCACCTCTGTAGCTTTGCAGGGAAAGCTGAGACCTGGGGGTGGGGCTGGGACATAAGACAGACCAGAGAGTCTACAGAAGCCCTTGGAGAAACTGTTCTAGAGGCTGAAGGGGTGTTATGTTTGGGACTGTCCATTAGGAGGCGGGTTCCCTGTTGCCTGGTCTCTGGGCATTTCGGTGGGTCTCTGATGTTTTCACTGCCCTCTGTCTTCCCAGATGCCTTTGCTGGATGCTCACTCCCTTACCCCACTGCACTGTGCTTGGCCTCAGAATGTTTCTATTTTCCCCCTTCCCTTAATTGTTACCAGTGTAAAGTCAACAAACGTGGCTACTTTTCCAGCTCCCCCACTGCTTTGTCTCCCTTCATACAGCGCAGCACAGCAGGGCCCCTCAGCAAGGAACTCCAGGAACCACGGAGTTACTTACTAGTGGTCAAAGGTGTCACAAGAGGACATAAGCATGTTCTCATTTAGGACTCAGCTTCTACTGCATAAAAAAGCTATCTAATGAGACGCGAAGAACCCGTGGCCTTCGCCACGGATGTTTGAGCATTGATAACTAGTGCAAATGGAGAGGCTTTGGCTCCTCCCCCTCAGGACCCAGCACAGGGCACCATGTGGAACGTCACGTGGCCCAGTGTCAGCTCTGGGCGGCGTGCCAAGCAGTTCCTGCTGCAGGGAGTGGCCCTGGCTCTTTTGCAGCCTTGGGGCTGTTGATCTGTTCTGGGTTTTGTGGGAATGGTTTGACACCTGGCGTTTTCCTCAGGCTTCAAGGGGCATTGTCGTCTTGTCCCCTTTCTCCTGCTGCTCCAGGGAACTGGTTCTTTCCTGTTTTGCCTCCCTGCATGCCTAGGCAGCTCACTGGCAGACCTGCTGCGCCCTGCTCATTGCTCTTGGGCACTGTAAAGGCATGAAGAATGTCACAGCAGGTTTTCCCCTGCTGCCCCAGAATCGGCATGCCTGTCAGGATAGAGTGGTTCTAATGCCAGTCCTGAATTTAATCTTTGACTCAGTAGAGGGCTGTGGGGTGGCTCGTGGAGGTGACAGTACATTTCTCAAACTGACTTAGGGCAGTGATATATAGTTGACTGACCATCTGTATTAGAATGTGACCTTCAAAGGGACATTTTACGGGAGCTTAAGTCTGTATCAGTAACTCCTTGCAGGGTGAGCTTGCTGGCTTTTCAATCAGTTTCTTATACAGAAATGAGTGATACATAGTACACAGTCACACTTGACATGAAACTAGTAAGTCCAGAAAAATATAAAGTAAAAAAAAAATCTAATTTAAAATAGTGATATTTAGAGTAAATCAGTTAATCAGAGGTAATAATTTTAATAGTAAACTCTCATGCCGCTTTAAGATGGATTTCATGTCATATGAAAGCTTTGATATCATCTACTGATGATAATGGCACATAAAGTGTCTCTGCAGCTCTCTGGGTTCTGTGCTAGTTTGTATGAGGGCTTGGATCTTCTGTGACAATCGCATCTGCTGTCCAGAGGCATGGAGGATGTCGACGGGTGACAGGAGGAGGGGGCTGGGAGGAAGAGGGCTCAGGCAGACAGCCCCTTTCAGATGTCACTCTTGCATCAAGGACACACGGGATCAGGGGACCATGAAGGGCTATGCCTCACACTCCTCTGACCACGACACACTCCACAGATCTGTGCTTGCAGCCGGTTTGCTCGCTCCCTGAGTCCCAGGGTGCAGCACATATTGCAACTAAAATGCTTGCTTAACAACAGTCTTGGTCCCAGCACTGTAGAGTTGGTCAGGGGGGTAGTGAACAGAAATGGGGCTCAAAAGGAAACTAATACAATCTCAGTCCTAAGAAATTGTTTCCCAAACAACCATGCAGTGGAACCACCTGTGAGATGGCCACTGCTGACTCCGGGCTGTACTGATGATGTCTGAGGTGCCAGCTGTGATGGGATCTAACTCTACTGTCCCTGTTGTCTTGGAAAAAGGAGGAAGAAATCACAGGGCGCACGTCCCTGTGGACCTTGAAGCGGGAGGGGCTGGAAGAAATCATCACATCACTTATGGTTTTCTCAAAATAATGGCTTTGAGAAGAGAGCTTAGGCCACACAGGACACACAAGGATGCCGATTTGGCAGAAAAGTTCCCTTCTTTAAAAAACAGTGAACTACTCGTTTCTTATGAAGGCTTCTTGTGATTCAAGGTAGGAAAAGGCAGGCGGAAAGTCAGCCTGCTCGGGTTTAAGGCCTTCTCCTTCACGCCCAGACGGCCACACTGAAGGAGTGCTGAGTGTAGCTATGAGCAGGGCTACCAGCAACTCTTGGATAATCCATTAGTAAAATAAAGGCTTGCGGCCAGGCTCAAGCGTATCCATACTAGTGGGTAATTTTGGGCAGCACTGTTTACTATTATTATTTAACGAGACAAATCCTAGAATTTTGTGCATGTCTACAGCCTCTTTTCCCTAAATCAACTTGCAAATCAGAACTGTATTTATATGTGCACTTTTTGGGTATGGATTAGCCTCCTAAAGTACATAATTCCAATAATTATCAGTGACAGAAGGGATGAATAAATTATGCTTTGAGCATAACAAAATTAACAGTAAGAATGTTTTGCATAAGCTTTTCTTAATGCATGCGCCTATGTTAAATTTAATATTCTATACGACTGACATGATCCTGAAAGGCTCCCAATGAGTTAATCTTAAACTGTACCTCTGCCTGTTCTGGGACAAAGAAGAAAATAGAATTTAAATGCTGCAGATGTCAAGATGTTTTGAAAAGCTTTTATAATTTAAGCAAAGAGTTATGATGTGAATTGCAAATCCCAACAGCCTAGATGAGTGAAATTATCAACTCCATGTTCTCTTTCCAGCAGAATGCAAGGATTAAGCTTCGGGTCTTGTTCACAGAGTTAGAGCCAAGCCAGGCTCCTTTCCCTGGCTGGGAGAGCAGTGCTGAGAGGTGCTTCTTTCTTTTTCATAGACAAAAATTGTATTATAGGCAGATTGACTTGGAAATCCTGAAAGGGAACCTCTTATCTCCTTCTGAGGGCCGGCAGATGCCTGGAGAGCACAGCGCCGACTCTGAATTCTGGAGTCTGCGCTTGGGTTTCCATGGTGGGTGCCATTAAAAGCGAGCTCTGCTTTAGCAGAGTCTGACCTGCGGGGGCGCCGTGCTGTGCCAGGGCTGCTTGTGGGGGGCAGTGTACTGATGTGGGCAGGCACACACGGCCTCTAGTCTGCATATATGAGCTTTAAATGTGGCGAAAGTGAGCTAGGAGGCTGGAATGATGGGGACAGTCACACTCCTCTGCAGTGGCCTCCTCTGGAAGTTAGAATCTGCTCTATGCTCTACGCTGCCCGGAAGGGAAGGGAGGGACTTGTCATCTCATAAGTTCTTCAACACAGGCCAAGGAACCCCTAAAGTGATGTCTGCCTGAACAGAGGCCTGAGGGCTTAATGAAGACTTCTGCACCACATCTTCCCCTGAGTGAGAGCACCTCCCAGACACACTGATCCTGAGACAACTGTGGACAGATCATGGGGCCGTTCCCTGGACACAGCTGAGATTCAGTTCAACCAAATCCTAGTTTTAACTGCTGTACACTTGATAGGCCAGAGACACCTTTAATGATGAGCCTGCTTGCACACCTGTGAGCTATTAGGTTTCCGGGCACTGCCTTTAGGGCAAAGAGGAGACAGAAATGTGGGCATCCCGAGGGCTTTCTTCATCAAAAGCCCTGAATTTCTGACCCATCTATTTCATTCCTAGCCACAGTACTCTTCAGTAGGTGTATGTGGATGGTCTGTGCATATGAGCCATGGCTTCTGAAGGTTCAGAAACTGGTACAAAGAAAGGGACCTCCGTTCTGGGACTGTCCCCTAGGACGAAGACACACGGTTATTATCAAGCTGCCCTTTCTGTGACTTCAGTATCTCTAAGAAAGCTTCCACTGGGCTCTAGGAGCTCCTGAAACATTTCTTAGCCCGTGTTGGGAAATTCAGACCACAGACACAGTGTATTATAAAGGTGCAAATCTGGAAGGAAGGCCGGCTCTTTTGTCTTCTCCCTGTTGGGCACTGGCTAGTTGCTATTTTCTCAGCCTGCCATCCTGGTCACACACGTCTCTTGCCATCCCTGTCCTCTGCAGTCTCCTGCAGAAGCAGCTGCCTCCATCCTGCGTGCTCTCTGGGAATTTTCCACACACTACTTTCTGCAGCCTGGACTGAGGAGGGAAAAGACAAAATAACACAGGGGTGTGATGCTCTCACTGGGCTTGTTCTGACAGGAAAGAAAAGAAAAACCCTAGGAGGTCCAAGTAATTCCCAATATATGATTATATTTATAGATACAATTTCGCCTTGGCAGAGGAGAAAGCCCACTGTGGTGGGAAGGCATCATGCGAGCGTGCGCTACCAACGCTGTTTATAGCACCGACTGAGGAGGGCCTGCGGCAGAAGCCCACGGGCTGTGCCTCAAGAAGACCTTGGAGGGACACCAATGGTCCTGGGCAGGAAAACACAGGCCTGTTATCTTCTCAGTTAGGCCTGTGCTTTTCTCTGCACAGTGGCCTCAAACGGTAGGGTTCTGTGTTAGCTAAGACGGCCCTGGGTAGGACTGTTTATTTCTTGAATAAATTTGCCTTTAACATATTTAAAGTGGAACAGACTTTTAAAAACCCAGTTAATAAAAAACATAACCTTCAAAGATGGCTGCAGTAAGGTGGTATAAAGTTAGGGTGGCTGAGGACAGAGTCCCATAGGTGGAGTCTGGCCCTTGCTGGCACTATGTGATTTTCTTCTTGATGGCAGTGAGCTCTTTGTGAAGGTCGCTGAACTTAGGGCGGTTCTCAGGCTTATAATCCCAACACTTCATCATGATTTTAAAAATCTCTTCTGGACAGTTCTGTGGGGCCGACATCCGGTATCCTGAAGATTCGGAAGAGGAGAGAACTCAGAGCCGGGGAAGATATGGACACAGGGCATTACGCTGTGTATAGTATGCTGCTTGTAGGTGTTAGTGCCTTATGCTGTACGCAGGGCAGAAATTACAGACCACTGCTGGTGTCAGGTGTCCCTCTGGCAGATGGCATTACAGAGCCATGTGTGTGCCAGCAGACCTGCAGGAAGCTGTAGCACACACACATACACAGCTGAGTTCTGAGGATCAGCTTCCAGAATTATCAGATGCAGACTCTGGAGATAGGGCTCTATTCTGCACTGAGCAGAGAAGGAACAAGTTCCAGCCTTCACAGGCTGCTGTCTGTGTGTGAGGACGGAAGGCAGGCACCCTCACACCCAGGCTACGCAAGGCATGCTGGCCACAGGAGCCAGGCTGGGGCAGACTTGATCAGAACATGGCTCTCGCTGGAAGCGGTGTCCGACACAAGCATGTGCGTGGTGCAACTGCCACCTGGCCCTGCCTGTCTCCGTCAGGAGGACCACGGCACTTCTTCAGACCACAGCTTCTCTAAATCCCTTCTGGAAACTGAAGCCTTTCCACTGGGATACCACAGGGATCTGTCTGATGTGGAACACAACACCACTCTAAGGCAGCCTGCCTTCTGTCACCTCAGTGGGGCGGGACAAAAGTGGTGTTCTCTCTCTCTAAAGTGGAGGGGCCCTGCACACGGACACGATCTCATAAACTGTGATCGTGCAGAATTGGTATCTACAGAGTTCACACTTGAGAACTGCAATTAAGTTACAAAAATGAATTGCAAAAGAAAATACTGTTTTAAATAAGTTCACAGTTGTGTTGGCCATGTTCATAGATACATGATACACCTATGGGACATGGGCTGGCTCGCAAGGCTTTGCCCTGTTCTACGGGAGCCATAGCACCCATGGTGTTTGGAAACAGACTACTCTGACATGTTCCTCCCTACAGCATTGCGACCCTTCCCTCCCAGATCTGGTGGCGGACATGCCATGGGCACCGCTGTCCTGGTGCCCATCAACACAGATCACTGAGGCTGGCGGACATGAATGTGACACACCCAGGCCTTGGCTTACCTCTTTCCACCTGTTCCCGGGCCTGCTGGTTCGTCATTCCAGGGTATGGACAGACTCCTAGGCTGAAGGTCTCCCACAGGAGGACGCCAAAGCTCCACACGTCACTTTCAGAGCTGTATCTCCCTGAGAGGGAGGAAATGGTCATAGCCAGGTGAGTCAGCGGGACAGGAGGATAAGGGCTCGGCTCTGAGTGTCACCTGCATGCTAGCACGGCTAAGCCGCCAAAGGAATGTCACAAGTGCATCCATTCTTGGTACTTGTGTTAATTCCATGCCGAGCAATGTTAAGAACTAAATGGAGTCTTCAGGAGGCTAGTTTAATCAAATGCCCTATAAAATGATTTTCTTCTTTTCCAAAAACAAAAATTCAGCCAGCATGCAGGCTTACTTCCCCTATGGTATCTGAATGAGGTGGTTGGTTTATATATAAAAATATAAATTTGCACACATCCCCCTAGGAGATTAAATAAGATGGAGCCCTACAATTTGGCCTTCTGCCTGCATCTTTTTTTTTCCCAATAAAATTACAAACAAACTTAAAGCAATAAGGAAAGTTTCTTAACTTCAATTTTTTTTTTACTTATCACTGTTTACAGATATTCTTACATGTTTAAAGGTCTCATTTTCTCCACTGATAGTTTCATTTGCAGAAAATGCATTTCTCTGCGAGGTTTGAATAGAGCGGAAATTAACAGAGCTGGCTGATAAGAACAACTTCTTCTATTACATGTTGCCTTGTTTTGTCAGAATATCGTGCTGCACCTGTGCTGAGCTACGTGAGCTGAACTCTTAGATTTTTTTTTTCTTTTGGTAGCCTTCAGTAGAAGCACAGAGATAAAATCCCACCAAAGATGCCTCTGGAGATGGATATGATATCAGGGAGGAGAAGCAGAAACATCCCTCCCTGTCTCCAAGACAATATGCACTTGGCCAACACTACATATGCGCACCGCCACAACCAAACTCCACCTGCAGTAATGTTAAGGTTTTTCTGTTTTTTTAAAACAAGGCCACATGTAGCCTAGGCTTGCCATGTAGCTTAAGGCTGGCCTTCAAGTCCCGATCTCCCATGTCTCCTCTGCAGTGCTGGGATTACAGGCGGGTGTCACCATGCGCAGCTTGGGGGTCTCTTGACCCAGCATTTCCTATCTGCCTGCTACCCCAGGATTTACAAATGCCACTCCTGGAACACCGTACTCTGCCTCTAAACAGAGTGGCCTCTTCCGATCCTGAAGAAGGCAGATGGCTGGAGCGTGCCTGTGCTGGCGTGGCTCTCAGACTGGACTCACTGAGTAGCTTCCCACTTCGGAGAAGGCCATTGTGGACACCCCTGTGCTGTTGGGTAGGAAAATTACTTTTCTTCTCTACATATCAAGTCTTTTCATAAAACTCATTCAGCGGCTAAAGGTTACAGCTAATTTGTAAAGAAGTGAAGATCTGGAGACACGTAGGTTATGTTGTCTCGTGGAGATCAAGAAAGGCGCTCTGTGTGTACACAGACCACACTTCAGAAAGCTCACGGAAGCTGCCTGACATTCGAATCTGGTTTGGTGGATCACTGTAAAAGCACGGTCAGGGCAGCATTTTGCTGCTGTCTTGCTGCACTGACCCTCACAGTGCCCGCCTGGAGCAGAGGCACTACAGTTTGCACGACCATAGACGAGGAGACAGCCTGCCCAGGTCCTGTCGCTGACAATATCACTAAGGAGGAAATGCATCTCCCTCTCATTCCAGACTCTCGGGAGTTCTATCACACTGAGAAGAGTTTCTCCTAGTTAAGCCGTGAGCTCCGCCATCACCCTAAACAATCAGGTGGCAAGTGGTTAACTTTTTAAATAATTTCTGAGATTACAGCATTCCTCCCTCTTTCCTCCACCCACACCTTCCTATATGCCTCCCCCCTCTTTTCTCACTGTTATTGCATGCACAGCTGTATGTGCACATACATACATCTTCCTTAGTATGTCCCTGTTCAGTATATTATTATGTCACATGGATGCATGCTTTAGGGCTGACCATTTCACACTGGACAACCAATTGGTGTGTTCTTTTCTGGGGAAGACCGTCTCTCCCACTCCTTGCTGGAAAACTTTCCCAATAACTGGTAAGTAGGTGACATTATTTCTTAGATGAAGAAGAGTATACTGCCTTTTCTTTATAAGCCTAGTACTTCTGTTGAAAACTAGACTGAGAACGGAGGAGTACAGTGTGCGTATGCTAGCATTTGATTGCTGGGGAGTGTTATGATTTGACTGTGAGATGCGTCTATAGGCCCATGTGTGATCCATTAGTCCCTGAGTGGCGGTGCTATTTGGGAAGGTAATCAATGAGGCCTTGTTGGAGGAAGTAGGTCACTGCGGGCAGCTGCTGTTGATTTAAAGTCAGGCCCTACTTCCTGTTCAATGTAACTACCATGTCTTCCCTGCCGTGACAGACTATGTCGCTCTATAAATACAAGTCAGAAATAAACCCCTCCTCCCATCGGTTCCTGTTGTCAGAGTGTCTGGACTGTCACAGATACACGGCTGAGAGGCGTTTGAGAACAAGACACAGGAAAAGTATCTTCTCTGAAAGGAGATTATATGGCTAGAGACAGGTGTGGGTAAGGGGCCTCTAACAGTGCCTGATTCTTAAAAACATTTTAAATTGAGTAACACTAATGGCACAGCTGAATCCAACAGACCTAAGCCAAAGCTGCCAGAGGATCGCTTTGACCTTCCTGACTCTCCCTGGGAGATCGGAGCGCTATCGCAGCAGCCTGCAGCGAGAGCGAGGGAGGGACCAGTGGAGAGGAAGGGCTCCTGGGTATAAAAAACTTGAGGTGTTAACAAGAAAGAAGGACTTTCATGAGATAACCCCCAATCCAAGTCTGAGAACTAAGCCAGCAATCAGGGTCGCCCTGAGGCTGTCTTTTTCGGGCATCTCCTGCTGGACTGGACACTGACTACTAACCCGCACTGTCGTTCACCTGTACAGTGTCTTCCTCTCCCCACCCAACGGCATCGTACAGAATCTCTATCAAAGGCAAATGCTACCTCAGAGTCACCCTGAAGGCTTCCTACCTGTCCTTTTCACTTGAAATGCATCTGTCTGGCCCAAGTATCTGGAGCTAGTCCTCAGACTCGTAAGTACTTTAGTGAGGCCAGTATTCACTAAAGCACACTGTGATCAAGAGGTGGGTTTGTACTCTCATAAGCACTCAAGCACAAGAAGAAAATCCAGGCACAAGGGCTTTTCACAAATATTTTACACCTAAAGAAAGACTCTGTACACATACGAGTGTTATCGTCTTATCTTTCGTCCAGTGGTTTTTCCATGAGGGACAGCACCCAGCTCTGCGAAGACGCCTGTGGGAATGATGGGTCCCTGAACTCTAAAGCTGGTGTAGATGACTAGGAAGCTCACAAGAGCTCCTTGTGCTGGCACGAGGCAACCGACTCAGCCGTGACAAATATCCAAGACAATTACACTCAAATCTTTACCCAGGAAAAAATCTGGTGGCTCCTCAAGACGTTAAACTAGTTCACACTCACATCCTGGGCTAGTGGGTGCAGAAAACACTGTTGTGTGGTAAAGTACAGTACCAACCATGACAGACACACTGACAACTGCGGGCTGACATGGACTGCCTTCCACGCATTCACACGCATGTGTGCACTTCTCACAACAGAGATATGGAAAACTTTTCAGTGGACAAAAATAATAATAATTAAATAAATAAATGCCTGCTTTCATAGGAGACAATACCCACGTCTCCCTTTGCTCAAGATTTATGTAAACTTCAGGGACAGAGGCTGAGACCAGAATCCTGTGGAGGGAGACTCGAGGACTTGATTGACACTAGTTAACCTTAGATGAGATTACTGAACCAATTATAAGACATTCAAGCTAGCAGACCAGACCCTGCAACACTTGATGCAAGGATAAAAGTGTGCACGTGCAATGTGCAGTGTTCTGAGGAACGGTGCATAACAAAAGGAATCGTTCTTTGAACACTCATTGGCTACTGTAACCTAGCAATCTCACAGGTATGAACCCTGGGGTCTGTGACTAAGAACAAGGTGAGAACATACACTCGATCTGTGTTGCCCTCAAGTTCCAGGCTGGATTCTGCTCTACCCCAACCATGCCGTGGGTGCTTTGTGCTGATGCAGCCCACCTTCACTACCAACAGGAAAACTGGAGTCCGTTCATACCATAATTAAGAGCCTCGGGTGCTGTCCATTTAATCGGAATCTGCTTCAAGCCGGAAGATGAATATACTCCGCCATCTTCTTGCCGAGACATCCCAAAATCACTGATTTTCAGAATATTATTTTCACCTACCAGGCAGTTTCTTGCAGCCAGGTCCCTGGGTTATAACAAGACACAGAGAAGGCCCATTAAAACAAGTTGAAAGCCGCATTCACGTTCATGACTTCCACACTTTGCATTTTCACATCTGCAGTGCATCTATAATGAGGTGAAGAACGCTCGCGATTTACCAGGCTTCCCATCAACTCTGTCACAGGTAAAATCACCCAGGAGAACATCTGCATATGGAGCAGGCCACATGCTAGTTTTCTAGGCATCAGCCAGATTTCCATTTAAATAGAAAAACTCAGATTCTCTGTTAAAAGAGGAAGCCACAGGTGAGGCTAAGAGAATTTGACACTGTTTTTATGTTGACCAGCTTCCCTAGGGCAGCACTGCCCAAGGGCTGCTGGGATAATGGACTGTTACCTGCTGTCCACAAAAGCAACTCGGTCACATGTGCTGCTGAGTATGTACAGCGTGGCTAGCGTGCCTGAGAAGTAGTGGCAGGTGGCTGCGGTAAAAGGCCATCTCCAGAGGTTCCCCAAGGAGGGGGAAAGGCTAAGGTGGTAAGAAAGTGGGCGAACCATTCTACTGCACCCGGGACAAACAAAACTGCATGGTGGCTCGGCTCTCTCTCTCTCATAGCTCTACTCTATCCACGGGATGTATCAGAGCTAAGAGTGAAGTCCCTTCCCCAAGTCTAGTGAGGAGGGCATGCAGCAATCAGATCATATAGAAAGTCATGAGTGTTATCACCATAGGACAGGATCTATGGTGCATGGATGTCAACGTGTGTAAAGGGATTGACTCACAAGAGGGAATCCTAGGTTAGACAGGTTTGTCCGAAGGCCTCTTTGATAACTGGTATTTATTTACTCAAAGACCTGGAGAGTGTGTGTCAGTTAGGTACGGTCTGAAGGAAGGGTGTGTGTCAGTCAAGTTTGACAAAGACAGTTTCCTCCTAACATCCATTTCTTCCACTTTAGTACAGGAACCTAGAGTTTAGCTGAATATCTGGCCATGTGGTTTAAAACATGAAGCTTTATAGTGTCTCCGGCAGTTAGGCATGGCTGTGCTTTAGGTGCTGGCTGATGAAATGGCAGCATAGGAATTCTCCACAGTGTTCACACAATTGTTTGAAAGCAAGGAGAAAGACTGTAGCTCTCTCCCCCTCCCTTCTGCTAGCCTGAGCAGGGACAGGAAGGAAGGTGTGAGCAGAGAAGACCTAGCACGAAGAGGAACCATAGCAACACCATCAGAACAGCAGGCAACCAGGAACCTGGGATCACTTACGAGTTCCAGAGAGTTGCCAGCCATATTCTGTGCTTGGATTTGTTACATAGGAGAATTATTATGCTATTTAAATGGTTTTCATTTCTTAACTTTGTGTGTGTGTGTGTGTGTGTGTGTGTGTGTGTGTGTGTGTGTGTGTGTGATTATAAGCAAAATACAGTGGTGAACCTGGATTTAGATACCTTGAGTTGGAGAAATCTATGGGATGTCTCAGTGGAGGAGGGAATAAGCAGCTGGCCTATCAATTCTGAAGTCACAAGAGAGATCAAAGAGACAGCTGTAGTTTTTAGATGACATTTGAAGGTATGGGATTAGAAAAGCATGCACGGCCAGTGTAGAGAGATGGAAGGCAGCATCCAAAGATGACACACTGGTCTAGGGAAGGGCCAAAAACAAAGGGGGCAGCACAGAGGCAGAGAAAGCCCTACCTCTCTGTTCAGTGAGGACTGCATTTCAAGGGGCAGTCAGCCGCTATTGATAATTCCAGGGCAGACTGTGAGCTGGTTACTGACTGGTCGACATGGACTAGGGCAATAATAAGAGCGCGACCACAGCAGACAACGGAAGGGAGAAAAAGCAGCTAAAAGCTCTGCTGAGTACATCTTCCGTAGAGAGACAGAAGTAAAGAGGTCTACAGAAGGGCTTCAGCACGAGGGGATGCCCCACCCTGCCCAGTGCAGAAGCCAGTGTATGTGTGCAGGCTGGGATATGATGCAGGGAAACGTGGCCGTCACAGATGCGAAGATCTTTCAAACCACACATGAATCCTGCCACCTCTTGCATTCTCAATGTAGATTTCTAATGTTGAGACATGTGTGTGGGACACAGGATGCTCAGAAACACTCTATGAGTGGGTACCCTCTCATATAAATGTTCCAGGATAAAGGCATCCCTTCTGGCTTTTCATTTTAAATTATCTTCTCCCGAGCAAATAGTTGGTTTTCTTTTCAACTGGTTCTTATATATGTGTTTTTGGAACACATATGTAAGAATTAATTTTTGGAAGTCTTGAGTCATATTTAAAGTTGTTTTTTGAAATGAGGTCTTACTGGACCCTGGCTGGCTTTGAAGCCATTTAGATCCTCCTGCCCCAGCATCCCAAGGTCAGTCCAGGCATACACTATCACGCCAGGTAAGTCTAATTTGCATCTTTAGCAAGAGACACATAAACATCCCAGTGGTACCTAACAGTCCCCAATTAACCTTACAATTACAGACCACAATTATGACCAGAGAAATAGCATTTCCATTGTGGTAGGAACCTGGCTGGCCGTCCTTACAGCCGTCCACAAAGAAACGGGAAGCATCTCGCTCCGCTGATTTGCTGCTACTACTTTCATTCATCGGATCAAGACTCACAAGGAGAACCATGGAGGAAGCCCAAGTTAAAAACTGAATCTGACTCACTGCCCAGCTTTTAAATGTGGCAGCTCACCATGCGCTCCCACGGGGGGAGTTTCCTGCCCAAGTGAGTGACAGTGAATTGCTGGTTTATAATTCACTGCATCTGTAGCCATGCTCTAGCCATGCTGTCCTGGGAACTCCAGGTCTTACCCACGGTTGGCCATAATACACCCCAGTCCACTACCTGTCTGTGTGGCCTTGGCATACTTGGCTGTGCTTTCCTCATCTAACAAACAGAACTTGGCAGGGCTAGGAGGGGTAACGCATAGAAAGTGGCAGCATGCGGTAAACACAGCATCAACTTTCAATAAGACACTTGGTACTACCCTTGCTCATTGGTTAGTACTGCTACTGTTGAAACTACTGCTCTTACACGAGGCCCGGAACAGCATGTGGAAATCATTCTGCAACCATGTCAATGTCAGAGTCTGTCATGGTCACAGAGGAAGAGGGGCAGCACCTGGAAACACAACTGGGGGAGACTATAGAACCACGGTGCAGAGATCTAATCAATGATGTTTCCACACTTTCACATGTTTCACATCCTCTTGAGACACCCAAGAGTAAGAATGTCGAATCTCTCATGTGGGTGCAGGCCTGGCTCATCTGGTTTGGGAGGGGTCTCTGCAAGGCTTCCGGGCTGCACTGTGACGCTGCACACAGAGGAGGATCCAGAAGGGAACTGGCGTTTCTCTACTAACCAGGTTCAGATCAGGCCATGTTACGTCACTGCATCAGATCTCATGGCTCCCTCCTTTCCCTTTACCCTCCTCTGGGGATGAGGAGGACATGTTTTCTAGTACCTTCCTAACAGTCATCAGAAACAGTCTGTGGTTGGTAACATGGGATAATGTGTTGGAGATTTCTGAAAGGCTGTGGCTACATTTAATTCAGGGGATTTACTGCAAACAACACAGCCTTTAAATCTGGATCCAGACAGTCTTCAAAACCCACACTTGTAACTTTGGTTCTGTCAAGGCAGTAAGCCCATAATGCAATGCATGCTGGTTATAACTAAAGCCTCCAGGTGAGCCAAACAAACACAAAGAGTTTTCAAGATTCATGCATATGGATTCCAGAGCGTGACAGAAACGTGGAAAGGCAGCACAGGAGTTCCCTCTCCATTATGTTACTCTTCAGTGCATTTGCAGCATCCCTCAAAACAGGCACAGAGGAGGCATCTGAACTAGTTTCATAAACTCCACAGATGCCCATCTTTCTACCTAGATAAACCTGACAGCTACCAGGTAGCGCGCAGGGAAATGAGTGAAGAAGCAGAGAGGCTCTCCTGACCCATGTGTGAGCGTGCTTGCCTCAGCTGAAACCCTGAGTATCTGCTTTTGTGGGACATACCCACACTCACTGAAACTAAGGCTGATAGGGGTGGCTGCCTTAACAGCAACTGAAGGCATAAGTTTTGTCTGAAGCAAACAATGTTTTGTGGCAATCATTTTGTTCTGCAGCATGCTATGGCACCACTACCACTCAGCTTCTTTCCTTTTTAATTTTTTAAAAAGATACATATCTTTTTAAATACATATTTATTTATTATGCATATAGTGTTCTGTGTGCCTGCAAGCCAGAAAGGGGCATTAGATCTCAGCTATACGTTAGCTCAGATTATGGTTGCTGGGAATTAAATTCACGACCTCCAGAAGAACAGTCAATGTTCTTAACCTCTGAGCCATAAGACATAAAACAATCTCTACTCATGGACACATTTTCTTTAAACACAGAAGACTTCTGGTAACTTCTATGCCAGCAGATTTAAGCAGTACACTAATCTAGCAAGGTTTGGGTTACAGAGGAAAGTATTCTATGCTGGTAACATAAATGCCACCCAATGCTTTTAACACAAAAACATTGTGATGGAAGGAGATCACCCGAATCTGCCGTAAATTTTGCACATGACAGTAGACACAAACTCATGAACCGTTTCTTAGAGCAAACCAGGAAACAGGTGGACAAGGAGGGATGTCTCAGGATGTACGGGTGGCATCTGGGACCCATTCTGTTCCTGTCTGTACCAAAGGCCAGATTTAGATGGAAGAGATGGGTCAGCAACTGGCCAAAGAGGAGACACAACAGCTGTCGGGAAACACAGCCAAGTCCTCTCTTCACACAGGCAGGCGATGGGGAGCCACTGCGGGACAGCAGGAGACGCTAGCTGGACAGCACAGCTTCAAACTCCATGTATTCTCCTTAGGGAACCACATTCCCACGGGGCTGTGGAGTCCCACAGCTCAGGAGGCAGGTGGATCTCTGTGAACTGGAGGCCAGTCTGGTCTACAAAATGAGTTTCAGGGCAGTCAGAGCTGTTACACAGAGAAACCCTGTCTCAAAAATCAAAACAAGAAA